TTGACAAGTTTGTCCACTTTTTCATATATAGAATTTAGATTAAAAACTAGATAACACAAAGGATAGATTTGTCTTTATAAAGCTACTTATTGTAACTGTTTATATCTTTTAAAGATACTTTCAATAGTTTTTTTCCCCCTAACAAATTACTAACAAGTAAGATAACATATTTAGTTTTATTATAAAGTAAATAGATTAAAAAAGGAAACTATTAATTGCTTGTGTCATGCAAACAAAATGACAACCATTAAGTATAAAAATAATTTATGAAATAATTTTAGTGGATAAAGTACGCTTGAATAATCACGAAATTACTTTATACGGTAATAAAAGTCTTTAATCACTTTTTAACAATGTAATATTTTATATTCGAATTCATTTAAATCCACTTGTGTGTTTCCATTCTCGTTTATCACACTTGCGAAGTTTTCTTTATATAATTTCCAACTGTATGTTTAATATTAATGTAAGTAAAGTTTTAATATAATTTTGTATAAAATAAATTATTCTAAAATACTAATTAATATTCTTTAAATTACTTTTTAACAAATATAATAATAATAAAGATAATAGTAAGTATGATAAGGTATACTCGATATAACCTCGTTTATAAACACTAATTGATAGATGATCTCTATATTTTATTTATTAAATCAATAATAATTATATACAGTACTGAAAAATAAAGTAAACTTACATATATTTCACTTGTCAGTGGTATAAAATGAAGGAACTTTTTCTGTTTCTTGCTATAACTTTTATAAGAATAGATAACAATATTTTGTAAACATAAAAGGAAAAAGAGAAAGTGAATGAAAGAAGAAAGTATTTCTTACCAATTTTATTAGTTAACAAGTAATCATTTCGTAGTATATAATAAACTTTTTTGTGTAGAATTTTAATTAATTTCTTTCTATTTTTGTGTTATTTTCATTTACATAAACTTGTTTTTAACGTATGAAAGTGAATTCCACAACGTATACTTTCGTTTTTAATAAGTTTTTAAGGAAAAAAACTGTAAAGAATTTCACTTTTTATTATTTTTTTATCCTGAAAGTTGTATAAACGAGTAAGAGGACAAAGAATCTGACCTATTATATATAGGAAAGTTTATGCTCCCCTAAATTTAGGCCCACTAAATATTTTTGGTATATAGTATAAATTCTATAACTACTTCCTTCTAGAGTCTAACCTTTCGTGACATCTTCATAACATTAAAAAACTATAATTAAAACTAAAATAATTGATAATAAAAAAGTTACACTTGAAAGCTTAAAAAATACAATTGATTACACATATTTCATACAACAGAATAAGATCAATGTCAAAGAATATACCGCAAACATGTTTTATGGAGTAGAATACTTTTCCTGGCTTTTAATGATTATAAAGATTTATATATATATTGACCATCATATTTTGAAGGGAATAAAAATTACATTCTTGATTCATTTAACCAGGAAATAAGCATAGTTTTTGTATTATACAGGTGTGGTATTATAGCCTAGATAACTATAATTGTAATAGGGAAACTTTACGATTTTCCTAAAATAAATTTACAGTATGTCGAATATTTTTTATTAATGATTAAAGCTAGACAGTTAAATTGTAATTTAATCAACTTTTTTTTTGAAGTTAAAAACACTAATTGACTTGAGAAAATGTATCAATTGTTTTTTCTTTCTTTCTTAACTTTAATAAACGGGAAAGTTATTTCTCATTCATTATTCAGTTAAATTTTATATTATGTTTTACAATACTCATAATTAAACATAAAAAATTTAAAAAAAAAAGTCACATCTCCTATAGGAAATTAGAAATTAATAGCTTCATACCAAACTAAATATAAAATAAGATATAAATGAGAATAAATTATCTTAAGTTAACATTTATTTTTCGGTATTTTAACGGTTCATGAATCAAATTTAAACAAAAATATTAGAACTTTTCGATGACTCAGAATGGTTTTAATAATAATTATATCATGCTTATGGCATATAAAAGAAATTCCCTAAAATCAATGTCCATACTCTTTTATAATATAAAGAGAAAAAATATGTCAGATGATATCAATATAATTGATTAAATATAAAAATTTTCCCTTTTGAAAAGAGATTTTATTTGATAAGAATAAAATATTTTTCTTCAGTTATTCTATTAGTTTAATGTAATCGAATTCAATTGGGCGTTTAGAAAATTTATTTCTTATTATACATTATTCCAATGAATAAGTTACTTTTTTAAATAAAATATAGATTAATTTCATTAGTTATGCGTAATCTAATTCTGTAATAATGGCTTATTGAATAGCTCTATGGGCACTTTTTCTTTAATTAATAATTTTTCATGGTCAATTCCTTAGAATTACACGATTTATCCATTACTTATTATGGTTGACCTCATTAAAATCTAGGTTTTACTCACAACTGGTAAAAAGTAAGGTCTGCTTATGAGCAATAAAACCAAACTTAAAAATTGTTTATTATCTTTCGACAATTTCTAATATATTTAATTGTGGATAAATTAATTCCTATGCTTTTTTTTTCATAACTAAATAAANGAGTAAAGAAAGAATACGTTAAGTAAATTCACATATTTCATCTATTTTAATATTACTTAATATACTCATTATTCAATTTAAAAATTCAGCAATGTGTTTTTAATATTCTCAAATAACAAATATTTTGCTGAAGTTTCCTTTCATTTCTAGCAATATTATTATTTTATGGAAATAATAATTTTAAATTGCTGTTTTACAGCATGAAGAAATAATAAAATTTTGGAGAGTAAATAAGTGCGAAAAATCAATTTAATGATGAAGACCTTGCATTTTAAATACTTTATAATGAATATTAAAGCTTATCCTGGATGGATAAGCTTTAATATTTTCTAAAAGAGAGGCACAAAAGAGAGATCTTTCCAGCATTGAACGAGAGCGCATGTGGTACCCTAGTTCATTGAGGTGTTTATAATAAATAAATTAATAAATAAAATATATAAAATCGTTTAAAAAAACTATATATGTAAATCACGCTATAGTTCTGCGGCAATTTGCAAATTTCCAAAAGTAAGTAAAAGATGCAAATTAAAATTCGATCCTGACAAATTATGTAACAGCATACATTTTAGACGTCCCTATGAAAGAACCGACATCGTGCAGTATGCTAATTGGTAGTAATATAGCAATGCATCATACTCAAGAAAATTACTTTGAGGTGCTTATTATTTATGAGAAACGAGAAGAAATTCATGTGAAGCAACGCTTACGTTGTACAACCTCTTTCTAGATGCATTAAAGACTACACATATAACGATTCTGAATGTAATTATCGCTTGATACAAATTAGTACTACAGTCAGGAGTCATTGTCCAGGTCGCTCTCGTCTTAGCATTGAAATATTAGTACTCTTCCAAACACAGGCATACTCGAAGCAAGATCAAGTAGAGTACAACAGACAAAAGAACGACGAATTTTATATCACTATGACTATCACCCATTTTACTGCTATCTGAAGTTGGTATATGTAATTCGATTGGTGGAACGTAATGCTAAATCTACGCCTTGTAGAACCGCAACTTTTTGAGAACATTGTATGGATTGACAAAGCATTTTTTTCCGAAATGAAGTATGTAACTGCCATAATGTGTGCCATTAGACTCCAAGATACACGCAAAATACAAAACAGTTTTTACAGTAAACGTCTCATGAAGTATCTGGAGCGAGCAATTACTTGGTCCTTGACTGGGTGACCGTATCTTAATATTCAGAACACAATGGTAGATAAATGGCTTGATGACTGCCATTGAAGCAATGACAGTCATCTTGTTACCATTTGTTGCATGTTTACTACCATCGATTTGACAATCGATGAAGAGGACAACATGGTCCTGTTCCATGACTACCAGACTTGACCTCACTGGATTTTTTCTGTGGGAGCGCCTCTAGCAACCTCGTGTGGGTGTTGAAGAACTGGAGAGGCAAGATATATAGAACGGTAGCAACAGGCTACATATCACCTCAATCGTCTACATTTTTGTATTTCCTTTAAATACGTCTTTTTGAACATGTACAATAGCAAAATAAACGTGTTTTCGTATTAATTTATGTAATGTTGGTTTTTATCCTTTGCAGTCAGAGATTCTTTGTACGTAATGCTAAACCTTAAAATAATTTCCTTTTGTTATCCTTGCACTTGGGAGAGATAGGAAAATTTGTGTGTTGTTGTTTTAGAGCTACTGTTAGTTACATATGTCATTTTTGAAGGAATTTATTTATTTTACTATTAAAGCATCGTAGTGGAGTAATGCATTACATGCATATACTCGTGCAATACTGGAAAGATATTTTTGCGCCTGTATAAAAGTTAAAGTAAAATACCCTGTATAATATAATCACGTATTATATGGTCAGATGATAAGAAGTTTTAGTTTGTGTTTTATTTGTTTTTATTGAAAAAAAAATGAAGAAACTCGGTCGTTTTCAGTTCTTGGTTTTGTTCCTGGTGATTAGACATGAAAGAAAAGACTTAGTTTCTTCAATTTTTAAAAAATTGTTTAAAATATCTTTGTTTTCTAATTATCGAAATTAATTTCAGTTAAAAGAACTTTGATTCTATACAAAAGCTACAGATGAAGACCTGTATTTGAAACATTAAAATGACTCATAATTGAGATAAGTGCAGAAATAATAAATAATTAAAACGATTTCTTATTTCCGCATTTATTTTCTCCGTATACAGTAATTAAAAACTTTAGTTTCTGATAGGCTATTAAATTATTATATATTTCACTTTAATAGATTAATTAAGAATCACACTACAATACAGCAAGAAATCATTACTTTTTGATTTTATAAGAACAATATTTAATTTAACTTTTAAATTATATTACAAAATGTATATTTAACAAATGCTTATGCAGCTCTTTTTCTTCCCTTTTCTGTTTCAGATAATGAAGAGAATTCAGACAAAAAAGCAGATATCTACAGAGAAGAATATATAATGGCAAAATTTCGAGATGTTATTGGTCATTTGCTAACTTTTCCTTTAGTTAAAGTAATTGTTATCATTATTTTCATTACTAATTTAGGAATTGGAATAATGGGATTAATGATGTATTCGAAAAGTGGTAACGATTATGCTGATGTTTTTCGTTATAATTCTTCTTTAGTTACTTTTAACAGCGTTATGCATAAATATTTTAATAAATATGCTTATCCTGTTCACGTTATAATTAACGAACCACTTGATTATTCAGATATAGAAGTTCAAAAGAAAATTGAAGAAACTCTACAAAAATTTGAAGCACATCCGAATATTGCCGATTCTTCTGTAAGACTGTCTTGGTTAAAATATTATAAATTTTTTCTTAATCATCCCACACGGACAATTTTATTAAGAGGATTTAATATATCCGATAAAGAAGATTTTGTATTCGTTTTACGTAACATATTCCTACGTCTTCCTCAAGCTCAAGAGTTTAAATCTGATATTATTTTTAATGAAAATCATACAGAAATTATTGCCTCTAGATTTCTTTTACTTTTAACTAATATCAACGATCAGAATGTAGAAATTAATGTACTTAGAGATCTTTATAATATTGTTGATAATTCACCTTTAAAGATACATATTCATAGCATTATGTTTCATATGATAGAACAAGCATTACTTATAACTAGTATTTTATATCAGTTAGCAATTGTTAGCGCAGTTTTAATTTGTCTAGTATTTTTTATTTTTGTACCTAATGTAACTTGTGCTCTTTGTACTTCGATGATAATCCTTTGTATTATATGCGAAACAGTTGGATTTGTTTCTTTCTTTCATGTAAAATTAGATATAGTAATGTTAGCTTCGTTAGTAGTGTGTGTTGGTTTTTCTATAAATTATCCAACTCACATATCATATTCATTTGTTACATCGAATAAACTTAATCCCGATGAAAGATTGAAAAAATCATTATACGAAATTGGTTTACCAATTTTTCAAGGTTCGTTCTCTACTATACTCGGAGTTTCAGTCTTACCCTTTGAACCATTTTATAGTTCAGTTTCGTTTTTTAAAATCGTTCTTGTTATAGGTTTACAAACTGCATTTCACGCTATGTTCGTTATACCTGTATTTTTAACAATTATTGGTAATTTTAATAAATCTTTAACGCGTAAAATAGATAGCACGAAATCAATTGGAGCATTCATACCAGAAAATGATTCACACGAAGAAAGTATGTCCCTCACTTCCGAAAAAGATCAAGCCGTTACCACAAAATTATAACAAACATTTACCAATGTAAATATCGTGTATATATAGTCATATAAATACGTATAATTTGTTTTTTTTACAATAATAGTATTACTTTTAAGAACGAAATTATATATGAATTAACATTTTAATCAATTTTTAAACCAGGAAAAATTACGAATTATTAAATTAATAAATAATTCTTTTAACCAATGTTATATACCCTTTAATAAATAATATTCTTTTGTATTTATTATTTTTTAATAATATTACTGTGATAATAAATTGATTGTAATTATATAATATTATTTGTTCTTTATGTATTTTTTAAATTCATTTTAACAAAAGTACATCCAATAAGAAATTAATTAAATATCATTATAATATTTCGATAGCTTTACATATAGAAAAACATACCTTGATATACATGTGTTTAGAATTATTACGACTTAATAAAGGAAAAAATTTTAATAGAATCTTTAACAAGTATATAAAATACTTGACATTATTTTCGAATAAAATTCTATATACTTCCTGACTTTATATATATATATATAGCAATATATTTTTATATATGAAATCAAAAATTTAATTTTTGAACAATAGATATACTCGTATTATTTTCTTATAATGTATCACAGATATAATTCCGTCGTTGTTATCATTTCCTCACTTTATTAAGTCAACGTGCTTTTTTTTTCTATATTAAACGTTAAATTAATAGAGGTCGAACATATCTTTAGGCATTAATTTAACCTGAATAACTAGTTTTTTTATGCTATTTAATAAAATTAGTCTTATTAACATACTCTTATAACAACAATAATACCGTGAATAGAATAACAAAAACTTCTTTAATGTGAAATAATCTATGATCTTCGTTTTCACTTCCTCTTATTCTAGTATAAATAATAATGCTCGATTTGGTTTCTTTTCAAGATTAACAATACATTTCCGTATGATGTTATATATAAACATTTATAGAAAATGTAATTTCTCCTTCAATAACAATAGACTTTTCATTCAAGCAAGCAAAAGAAAAGTTTAGTAACTCTTCTTTTGCTTGTCAACAGAAGAAATCTAATCCTGCTCCTGAAATTTATCTGAGAGTGAAATAGAAGGAAATGATAATGAATGTCCATAATGTAATGTTAAATATTATAAAGATCAACGTGGAGAAAAGTGAATAAGATGCACCCAATGATGACTTGGTCACATGAAGATTTCAACAACGTTTCAGGATTATATACGATGATGTAAATAAAGTACAGTATATTGAATTAGAAATTATTGTTATTTAATGTGCATGTGCAATATAGGCTATACACGATTATATAGTACAAAAATATTTACACAAGATTAAAAAATTTTTAATTAAATTGTAAAGAAAATTTTCAATTTTCCAATTTTTTTTACACAAGCCATTTGTTAAATTTATTCTTTATAATTTTATTTTTAATTTAATAATCGTGTATTACTGTTTATTTCTGCTAGGAAATTTTATATAATATTTGTACTAAAAAAAATAATTTTCCTGGACCGTCAACGAGAGTGATTATGATAATGACTTCCTTGAATATCGGTCTGAAAAGATTTCATTATCGTATATTATTGAAAAATTGTATAAAGATTATTTTATAAATATACACAGTATATAAATAAAGTCATTCGTAATATATTTGGCAATATAGAATTTACCCCAAAATAAATATATACTAGAAAACATCATAGATCAATAGTATGTAGCATATTGAATAACGTTCTTACATATTACACAGTTCGGAAATCACAGAAAACAACATACTCAATGATTAAAACTCAATGATTTTACATAAATCATAAAAGTAATTGAGGAAAAAAACTCAAGTTGCATCATGCTATTATAAAACTGACAATGCATTAAAGTTTTAGTTACAACCATAATGATTATTAAACTAAAATATTATAAAATAAACTGACTCATAAAAATTCACATGTAATAAAAATACTTTCTTTACTGCACAGGCATGTACAAGTCGACCCCCCTATAACACTGTTGATTATTCCGTTTTATATGAATTCCATGTTGTACGAGTCACTTAGATTTTACAAATACGTGTGCCGGGCTGTGAACGGCTCACGTATTTGTAAAATCTAAGTGACTCGTACAACATGGAATTCATATAAAACGGAATAATCAACAGTGTTATAGGGGGGTCGACTTGTACATGCCTGTGCAGTAAAGAAAGTATTTTTATTACATGTGAATTTTTATGAGTCAGTTTATTTTATTATATTTTAGTTTAATAATCATTATGGTTGTAACTAAAACTTTAATGCATTGTCAGTTTTATAATAGCATGATGCAACTTGAGTTTTTTTCCTCAATTACTTTTATGATTTATGTAAAATCATTGAGTTTTAATCATTGAGTATGTTGTTTTCTGTGATTTCCGAACTGTGTAATATGTAAGAACGTTATTCAATATGCTACATACTATTGATCTATGATGTTTTCTAGTATATATTTATTTTGGNATAAAATTTTAAACGCCTTTTTTTTAATGTCAGGATTTATCATATGTTTTAACGTTTAAGAAAGGACATTTTCCAATAAAGAATACATCCAGAAAACAATTCCTTTGTCAGGTTGCTCTCGTATTGTATTCCTTATTCCATCAAACAACAATTTTCATTTCTTATAATGCTTTGAAATATCATGTTTAAAGATTATTACAATAAAATTATTTGTTTTAATTTTAAAAAAATATACACATAAACTAATAAACTAAAGAATTAGAATCATTTCTATTTGAAATTTATATAAGATAATTCATAATTAATATATAATATCATTAAGATTGAAATGGAATTATTCACAAATGTTTACTTGTAAATAATATATTAATTGTAATTCATGCATTATTTTTATTATTATAATACATAAAAATTACAATACGAGTATAATAACTCTATAATGTATCTAAATTAATTATATTATTCTTAATTAATATTGAGTTTTTAATGCAATGCAATAGTCTAATATTCAGGTTAAAAATACAAGGATAATTAAAATTAATTAATAAAATAATTTAAAAATATATCAAAAAATTAGAGTTCTTTTTTTATTTTAATTTAATATAATGTGAATTAAATGAGAATTAAAAAATTCGATACTTTTTATTAAAAACAATACAGCTATAGTGTTATGAATAAATAATATGAAGTATAATTACAATAATAATTGATGCATAAAAAAAAATAAAGACTATAATTATGTATTCGTGATCTTTTTATTTGTTTAGTAAAGGAATAAGTAGCTAAAGAAAAAGAAATAAAGGAAAAGAAAGGAATTTCATAAGAAATACATTTATTTTTAGAATGGACTGACACTTAAAAATTTATGCTTGAAACCATTATTAAACTTCACAAAGGTTCAATTACTAGAGATACGTTTCGTTTCCAATTATATCCCATAATTTCTCGACAATTGATTGTTAATATATACATTACAGAGGACAATGACATTTATTGTTTTCAGATTCGTTCATTGTATTAGATGTTCTCAAGTAATTCTTTTGGTTAATCAAATCTGAGTAAGACAAACTCAATATCATCTATTTTATGCTAAGTTTATCTCTATGACATATTTATTCTTCCTGAAAGGCATAATAATTGCTTCTCGGGAAGAACAAATATGATTAAAGCGAAAATAATATTTTTAAAAGAATAAAAGTTATTTAAATAATTTCACGAACATTCAAATACATAAATAAGTCTTCATTTAATTATAATAGCCTACATTTTAAACGAATTAATCCCTTTTTTTTTAAATAAACAATAAATGCTTTAAGGACATTCGTTGATGATGTGTAAGTTATTGTTTCATTTGTTCTTCTGATAATCCTCCTATATCAATATAGATTTACACATTCTCAATAAATTTATAATGATATTTTTTAATTCTTTCTCTTCTATATTAAATTATAAATAAATGCAGAAATTAGTTTAAAATTTGTTATTTTATTATTGATAATTGTATGAGTTATTCACAAAAATCTTATACTTCACAGAACCTCCATAAACACAAAACCTTGAGTGTATTCAATCTGTGGTCATTCTATGATTATTCGAAAAAGATTTTATCCCAGTATAAAGAGATATTTTTAACGTTTTATGTCTAAATAAACCGAATTCATAGGTATTTGAATGAATAATGAAGGAAAGTTAAACTAATTGATTGCAATAGTTTAGTCAGAATTTTCTATTGCACGATCTATATATGCAATAAAATACTTTATGAAGTTTAAATATATAATTTATCATTAATTTTAGAAAAACATGTAATTTTCTTATCAATTCAATTATTTTCCTTATGTGGAATCATTAAAAATACATACTTATACTTATCGCATAATTTAATCTAGTTTTTAGTACAAGAATACCACGAATTCTTCCTACTTTTCCGGTAGTTAAACTATTTGTTCACATTCCAATAGTCAGTAATAGATTTGCAAATGTATTTTATTCTTTAAAATGTATGTACAGTACAGTACAGTACATGTAGCAACACTCATACAGTAACATATTTCAGTATATGCTTTTCAAACTTGAAATTTGCTAAACAAGATGCTGCTACTATATGTTAGAACATTTCAAGGAATAAAGTACAAGACTAATACTGTACTAATCATTGAAACATGAAAATAAAATATGTCAGTGTAGCTTCAAACATAAGGAACAAATTCTTGAAGTTTCTATATAAACTAGCTTTATTCAATCATATTATAGCATTTTATTAGTTTAAAATATACTACAAGGTATATCAAGTTATAGGAGTGCTTATGTATGAACTGTTTAAGTAGAAAAAAAAAGAAAAACACATAATTTATTATCAGTATTTGAAAGTAAAACAAATTTTTTTTCATCTTTCCGCCCTATGGGCAGTGGGAGACTGTTTTAATCATACCCAACGTGAGTTCACACAGGCTCACAATGGGGTGTCGAGTAGTGAGAAGCGGAGTCCGAAATACCCGGAACATAAAAATTTCCTGGAATTATTTATTCGAATACGATCCCGTATCTCCCAGAGAGGTAGTTTGGCAGTTGGTCATACGACCATATTAAATATTTTCAGTAAAATAACAGAATTGAATAATTATAAATTACATATACAGTATCTTAAAATATACATCAATGTTTTTTATGTGGGCACTTAGAGAGCCATTTTTAAGACCCAGTATGGGTTCGGTAAGGACCACAATAGTGAACCGGGTGATAAGGGGAAGAACACTTCTCTAAAAGATTCGTGGAATTTTTCGAGTGTCCGGATTCGAACCCATTGTAGGCTGACACCTTTTCGTACTCGGTCATTCAGTCAAATGCTAATACTTTTTAATCATTTTTTATTATTATTATCTTAAAATATTTTAATTAAAATTTGCATTAATATAAATGTTCAGGCCGATTATTATCTGTTTTAATATTTAAAAAACAATGAATAAATTATTAATTCAAAAATATCTTGTTTTTATTCTTGTTAATTGCATCTATATTAATTATAACTTTCTCAGTTTGATGTAAAGTAATAATTCATTTAATTATGCATTTATGTAAGTCATATACTGTATAAATTTATAAAGACTAGTTTTACTAGTGAGAATTTTCCGCTATGTCTTCGAAGAAATCAAGCTTACTCTGAACTTCCCCCCTTTCCCTCTTTCGAAGTACTGCAGATAGTTTTCCTGAAGGAAATACTTTTCCTTCAACATCCGCAAACTGCTGACACAATTCTTCTTGAGTCAACAGTTGACTGACCTATTTTATTTTTATCTTAACATCGATGGAATTTATTTAATATAATCGCTAACCTTTATGCATGAAATTTTACTTTTCATCGAACTTCTTTCTGCTTCTATACGCATCAATAAAAGTGCGTGCATTTAAACCTTGTATCCGTTATCTAACCTGATTAACATTATAAAAATATAACTAACAATTTCTTTATTATTGTCCTAGATTAACTAGATTATTTTTATAATAAGTTATTTCGAAAGTAAAGTTTAAATAAGAGAATCGCAATCATATTTTTCCTTTTATTCCCTTTTCATAATTCTAAAATTAGTTTTAAAACTATAAAATGTAATTTATATAGTTAAAACATTTTAACTATATATTTAGCCCTATTTATAGTATAATGTATATACTATATAATATAATATTTAAGTAATGAAATAGCGTTGAACTAAAGTATAATGTCATATAACGTAATGAAGATAATAGTGATAATTTTAAACATCGTGCTGTGTTGTAAATGATATTTAATTATATCTAAGTGACATTCCAGAAAACTAAATATATATAATTACAGAGATAAAATGTAAAAATTGTCCTAATAAATAATTTAAGAAATGAAATATGGATTTCGAGATCAATTGCTATTCCATTATAAACTGGTGATATAGAACAGTCTTTGTGTGATCTTCCTCAATTTACAGAGGAAACCAAAAAATATATATATATTACAGAAAAGATATTCAGAAGAACTATTGAGAATAACACGTATTTCACGTATTTTCTATTGTTGTTCATTGTAAAACTAAAAGAATTGTGTAAAATTAACATTAAAGTGCACACTTTCTGAATAGAAAAGAGCTGAAAGGTGTTTTAAAATGTCTTCAGCGTCTTTATGGTCGATAGAATAGTAAAAAAAAAAAAAACACCTTTAGAAAGCGTAAGTCAAAATCTCAACCATTTCTAACGTAAATAATTCTACAAACACCCAGAATTTTTGGAAGTTTGCTGCTATAAAAGTAGAGGCTAATCATTCGTGGAAATGGAAGGATTGGCGTGTGAAACACACGTAAATATCGAGGTAAAGCTTTGTGGAAATTGTCTTCTCTGCGACAAAATGCGACACGTAGAAGACAAATAAATCAGTTGTGATAATAACACAAAATTATTAATATCCCAAAACACGGTTAAGTTTTCGACCTATCTTTACACTAAAGTATTTTTACTCAGCGTGATGTATACTATACCATTAAAATGCTGAATGTTTTTTAACACCTTGTATAACAACTTTATCAGACTTACCTACATAATTATGCTATTCCTATTTATAACATTGCCGACATAATATGTAAAATTAAAATTAAAAGGTTAACTAGTTAATAATATTTATAAACATTTAACTTGTTTTTCCTATGTATTAATATTTATAAACTATTCAATTTTATTTGGAATTTGATAGTTTGTTAGTGGAAGCATTTCGATAACGTCAGCTATGAGCTGAATAAACAAACTTATTTCATATTGTAAATTAAACTTCTATAATTAATAATTGTTCAAAAATATAGGAAATTTTTACAAGAAAGTTGAAAATCTTAAGGCTATGTTCCAATTCAAATCTTTTCAATTGAATTTCATTTATGAGCAATTTGCATATACAGTAGTATATGTGTATATATTGGAAATAAAATTCAGGTGTTGTGTAGAATGCTATATACTCTGCTGACAAAAAATAAAACGAATAATAAACATCTCCCATCTTGTAATTAATATATAAATAATATTTTTATAAATCATTTAAACATTTATAAATATTCTTTAATGTTATCCAGTAGCGTATTATGCACTAGACAAAAAAAATGACAATTGTCTTGGGTCAATACTACAAACAATATAAATGAGAAAATAATTCAATATAATTTTCAGTGATTATTACGCAAAATAATATACTTTTACAAAAAAAAACTACAAAAAAATATATACAAAAACGTAGCGCAGTTTCCTAACAAATCACCCCTTTATTATTATTCTTATGAGGGGAGATGTTGTGTCTAAACAATAAACTACAATTTCCGATGTTTTTATGTTGTGTTTTCATAGTTTAGTTTGCATATTCTCAAGAAAAACTGAGTAATTTATCTTTATTAAGTACTGAAAATGAGGAAATAAATGAATTGTATCGTGATACAATAAAACCTCGATTTAATGGACAAAATTTTCCGTCATATGTAGAAATTAACATTTTATTAATTTTACAATGCTTTTTATATGTAATTAAATTATTCATTAATATGTGAATCAATAGGTTATTTCGCTCAAATTCGAAAGTCATCGCTCATTATTTATTTGTTTAGTTAGATACAATTAAAATTAAGTATGTACAGTACGCGCATTCGAAAAACTACTTTATTATATAATAAACTTTTGGCTCTACCAGATATTCCCTCGCCCGAATTAGTCCGTTAAATCGAGATTTTACTGTAATATTATTATTAAATTTTTGGATTTGGAAATTAGGAAACAGCAAAGCACAATATAGATAATATGACTACATCATTAATAAGGAATAAAAATAATCGTCATTGGAGCGAAGGTACATTCATTCATTTGATGAAGAACAGAGCCGATTATTCAGGTGACGTTCGGCTACAAAACAAACGTTAGTTTATCCACTTCATTGTTCAACTTGTTGAAAGAAAAAGGATTAGAAGACATTTTAGATTCTGTTGGTGCTGAAGAGAATAATGAGTATAATGAGAAAGTGAATGAAAACACTGCTGCAAATGAACCAACTCAACAGTTTGAAAATACAATACCTAAAGCTTTAACTTTGACCCAAGAATCTAAAGATAAAGGTTTCATTTGTTGTATATGGTTAAAATCGACTGGTGATGCTTATCAGTGTCCATATTGTGGACTAACATTAATACACTCTGTGGAAATTGTACACATCAAAAAGAATGAAGAAGGTTTTGCTCTATTATATATTCTTTTTTGTTTGAAAGATAAGAAAGCTCTTAGTTGCTAATAAGACTATGAAATAAATAAGAATTTCAGGCAAAGAAATTGAAAATAAATTCCAGTCCGTTGAACAAGGTTTTACAGTTCGTGTTCCAGTCTGGGAATTAAATAAAAATGTAAGGAACACTCGCAAAATTTTGGCTATTGTAATAATAAATGTAATAATAATGGATTTCGATTGAAAACCAGACGAGGTATAATCAAGATCGTAGTACACAATGTGTAAAAAAAGAAAACTCTTAATGCTAAATGATATAGGCTTATCCATAGATAAAGAATTGTCTTTCAGGTTAGTAGCAACTGAGCAATGAGTAATGAGTTGTTTTTATTTTCTGGATAATTTATAACAAAATAAATTTGAAATAAAATATTAAAAGTTAATTTGTTATATCAATAGAAATTCATAACTTTTATCTTTAAATATCGGATTAAAAATATAAAATATAATTGCTAAATCTTTATAATTATGGAAGGATTTAAAAGTAAAAAAGTTTTTAAATGTCTCGGAGTATAAAACTAATAAATAAATTTCATATCTAATAGGAAATAATTTCGTCATAATTTCCTATATAACATAATCATAAATAATGTTCTATTATAAACAATTGTTAATTTTATCGATTGTGAACTATAGTATTTAATCCCAACGCTGCATAGAGACACTTTGAAAGTAAGTTGAATTAAATACTATTATAGTAATTTAAATTTTATATATAATGT